ATATATATATATATATATATATATATATATATATATATATATATATATTTATATATATATGTGTGCGTGTTAGTGTTCGTACTTTAGGAGCTGCACCAATAGCCCTTAGCCTCGGACGTCACTTAGTCGAGGCAAACACCCCCTCACTGTTTCCTTTAAATATATAAATATTTCTAACATTTTAAAAAAATCCAGGCGGCACCACCCCGTACAGCCTCCACCAGGTCACGAAGCCCATCAAATCCAGGCAGACGTGCGAGCAGAGATACGGTCAGGGGTCCATCACGCTGAGGATGATGTGCGCCGGTCTGCCGGAGGGAGGGGTCGACTCCTGCAACGTAGGAGCCTCCTTTTGATGTTCTTACAACTGGCTCTCCTTGGGCTTTCGTTGCTTTTCTGTTGTTGTTGTGTTGTTGCTGTTGCTGTGTTGCTGTTGCTGTTGTTGTTGCTGTGTTGCTGTGGTGTTGTTGCTGTGGTGTTTTAAGCAATGACTCACCATTTTGCTAGGAGCACTTTTGTTTTGATTTTTGTTTCCTTTAGACGTCTAAAATCATGTTCGTTTACTTGTCAAATCTTTATTCAACGTTTTGATGTTTTCTGGTGGAGGGGGGTGGGGGTATGTGGGCGAATGGAGTTTTTATGTTTAGCCCACTTAATTCCTTTTTAATAAATAATTTTAAAATACATTTATTTATTCCCCATTTTCCTAAGAATTATTTTTAATTATTTTTTTCATACTACGTGATCGTTCTCACTTCATCAGGGTGACAGCGGCGGACCACTCTACACCTACAGAGAAAACAGGTGGACGCTTACAGGTAGGGCCCCCCTCCCCTCTCTCCCCCAATAAATGATAGACATCAGGTCTGGTAAGAATGACGCTACATTCTTGCTCCACGATACCATCATATTTTTATAATCATCGTGAACATGTCTTTATATAAAAAAAAAAAAATCCTCTCTTTGATAGAAAATTTAAGTGGGCTTGTTTTATGTTGCAGGTATCATAAGCTGGGGCTTCGGTTGTGCCCAAGCCGGGCGTCCAGGGGTTTATGCTGATGTCATCGAGCTGAAGGACTGGATCAATTCGGTCATCAACATTTAAAAAGAAAAAAAGTAATTCAATCAGTCGTGACCTTGAGGTAATCGAATTCCACGCAGAAGATGGTTCGCGGAATCGCCCACCCGGTACTCAAGGGCAGTTAATGACAACATGTTTTCTGTGGTGTGACTTCAATACATGGGGGAATTTCAGCATTAAACCATCGCTATGTCCCAAGTGTGTCTGTATTTATTGTTGACGGGCGCCTGGCTGAGCTCAGCACATGAACAACTAGCGGAGTTTGGGGATCACGCCTTTGCCTGTTGCCTTCTTAATGAACCCTTCAGTCACACACAATAAATTGGGTTTTAGTTGTTCAATACACAAATTTACTTTATAAACTCGGAATTTTCATATACGCATCACTAGTTAGAGCCCCGCCCCTACAATGGCAGCCGCAATACGAGAACTTCCCATCTACTTCCCATCTACTTCCCATCTACTCAAGTTAATTGACGAAACATGCATTCAAGTAACAAAATTTATAAGAGTCACAATTAGTGAAATCTCACCACACACACGCAGGTATGCCATGCACACTTTTTCCACACCCCTGAAATCTATTAATATTCTTATTTCCGCCCCCCCCCCTTTTTTATACCCCAGATAGGGGAGGGGGTGTAATGCTTTCTTGACAACAAATCCACCGACGAATGTAAAAAAAAACATGTTTTTGAATAGAATAGCTTTTCATGAAGACAAATTTGAACGTAAAATTTATTTATTTTAATGATATAGTAGTCTATAGTAGGTTATAGCAGTAGGCTACGTATGAGTATGTAAGGAAATTTTAGAAGTTTAAAAATTTTAGTACAAGACATCTCCAACATCTAGAGGGGGTGCTCTGGGGGAGACAATCAAGAGCATTAGCTCGACGGGCCGCTGACGCCATTTCTTAATGTGACATTTCAATCAAAGTTTTGAGACAAAATTCTAGAATTTTAAAAACATGATAGTAAAATACAGAGGGGAGCATGTTAATCCATCTTGCCCCCCCCCCCACACCAATGACGCCTGTAAAGCAGAGGCGTAGCAAAGGGGGGTAGGGGGACAGATGTCCCCGGATGCCAGCTAGTGAGGGGCGCCAAAATCGGCTTTGATACTATTTTATTGATGAAAATAATGGGATTGAGGGTTAAAAAAAATAAAAAGGGGGCGCTTCGAAATAAATCGTGTCCCCGGGCGCCAAGCACTCTAGGTACGCCTAAGACACATGTCAGCCTTTTTTTTTTCTTCCTTTGGATATTTTGTTATTCAGTATGTAAGCTATAAAATTTAAAAATTTATTTTCTTTTTAAATAGAAGAAAACATGCATCCGACAAATGTTTTAATGTAATTTGTCCATTTAAGTTAAAGTCTAACTCTACCACTTGATGACATCAATAGATTTATCTTTAATCCACTTCAGTTTATTTATAACTAAATAGGGATTACGTTGTTGTTGTTTTTTCTTTAATCTTGATATCAATCTCGAAAGTTTCAAATCTACTGAAGTTTGTTTTTGTTTTTTCGAAAGGAAGTAGTGTAAATTGTAGGTTTTTTGTATTAGAATTACTTCAGAAATTTGATCAGTCCAGTTCAAGACTTTTGACATTCCTGAACTCTGTGATTATTGAAGACTTCGTTCGGGGCGCTGACTTGTAGATTTGGGTCGAGTTTGGTATGTGTGTGAGAATACTTAATTAACTTTTTGAACCGAAATCAAGGATGCCTGAGCTAAAAGGATGAAATGTTGTCCGAAAATGGCAAGTTTGCCAGTACAACCATGTCATCGTACAACCGTGTCGTAGTACAAATGATGTCATAGTACAACCATGTCACTGCAATACCATGTCAGAGTACAACCATTTTATAGTACAACCATTTTATAGTACAACCATGTCATAGTACAACCATGTCAGAGTACAACTATGTCATAGTACAACCATAGCGTAGTACAATCATGTCATACTACACCCACGTCATAGTGCAACCATGTCGTAGTACAAACCATGTCATAGTGCTCACATATCATAGTACAACCATGTCAAAGAACAACCATTTTGTAGTACAATCATGTCATACTACACCCATGTCATAGTACACCCATGTCAAAGTACAACCATGTCATAGTACAACCATGTCATAGTACAACCATGTCATAGTACAACCATGTCATAGTACAACCATGTCATAGTACACCCATGTCAAAGTACAACCAAGTCATTTCAAAGTTTGGTGGAGCTGCGCCTGATGTGCACTCAACAGTAATGAAACTGACAACGCATTTTTTTTTGTTTCGAGTCACGATAAGACAGTATTTCTACGATCTGGTCGGCATCAAGATAAGAAAACATGACAGCGTTAATCTGGTTAATGAGCCTTTTAGGACATAGCCAGAACATATAGGACATCCCAGTGTGTTTGATTGGTATGAACAGGCGGTCGTTGTCAACACATACGTTCCACTGATCATAGATAACGGGACTGCAGATTATTTCATTGGCTCGTCTGAACCAACGAGCAGCATGCGTATCTTCTCGGTGTTGGTTTTGCTATGGGGACTCGGTGAGTAAAAGCATTGTCTAAAACTAAAACAGTACGATTGTATTGAGCTGAAGTGATCGAACGGCATGCACAACGGGTGTTTATTCATGCTCAGTTCACACGATTCAATTTTCGTCAAATTTCTTTTTGAACGCACTGTTTAGTAAAACAAAATAGTGTGTTCAAAGAGAAATTTGACGGAGATTTGATCGTGTGAACTGAGCATAGTGTTCTTAGATCAGATTGCGTACAATCAATTACGAAATCTTTCGATCAGCTGATTTATTTTAGCCGTAGGTGGTTTAGTTTAACAATGGTGTGTTGTTGTTGCTTACTGTAATCAGAAGCACACAAAAAATAACACCAGCTCGTTAAGCTTGGATGGCAACTCATCTAAGAGAAGGCAAACTCTAAACAAGATGGAGTCCCGTAAGCGGCATGAAATAGACACAATGAAATTTCCGAGAACCCTTGCGATGTGGAATACATAAAGGACAGAGTGAGACGTAAGAAATAGTTCTGGCCATCTACTGCTTCCTGGTTTAATTCCAGTCGTCTTGGCTAAATCTCGCCATTTGGATCAAACAGGCAGAGGACGAGAGAGTGAGGCTGACGAATTGAGCAACTGTGCCTCACATTAAACAAAATACAGCTCATGTGAAGGACGCACAACATAATCACAGTGAATGGTTTGATAGACAAGCGTTGGAAAATAATTTTTTATTCCTACATTTTTTTTTTAAATTACCATTATCACATGAACATCCCTAATTTAAGCCAATTTATTTCTTAGCCCATGGCCACCCTGCCAGACGTGGTGTTGATCTCGCTCAGATATCCAGAAGGTACGCACCTTCATGTTCTTAAAGTAGATTCAGTAGAGTCAGTAGAGAGAGGGTGGAAATACAACTTAATTTATATATAAATAAAATATTGAAAGCAGATCGGACGCCAAGCAGTAAAAGGTAAAAATGTAAAAAAAAAAAATACGAAATAAAAATTTGAAAAATTTCGAAGATAAAAAAAAAAATTAATTCCAAAAAACTTTTTTCCATTATTTTTGGCAAATTTTTGCAAAATTTTTTAGTCGTTTGTAGCATCTATGTTATGTTTAGTAGTACGTATATTTTTTCGTAATGTATTCATTTAATAGAACCAGTTAAAGAATCCAAAGTCTTGCTCCTGAAAAAGTTCCCTAAAAGTTCAATCCCCTCTAAACTGTTTGTATTTCCTCACAGCCGTTATGATAAAATCGACGCGCCTGGATGCGGACAGAGGCCATTGGCTCCGGGCAACGGAGTCTCTGAGCTAGTCAGTCGAATCATGGGAGGAAAGGAGTCCATTCCCTACTCGTGGCCTGCTATGGTAGGGACTTCAGTTTGACCTGTTGATCACTTTGTAGACAACAATATGGTGAAGTCAATATTATGTTAATGGCGGGCTTTAAGATAAGATAAGATAAGGTAAGATAGGATGAGATGAGATGAGATACTTTTATTGATAAAAAATAGAAATTTGTTGTTATTGTTGCTGTGTTTTATCATAAAATATTATTTTCAGTCTTGAAAATCCTCGTTTGAGTATTTCGTTGTTCCTTAAAATTCGTTTTTTAGCAAGACTTTCGTCGAATCATCGTGCCGTATGAAAAACTATTCAGATCTTGAGTGTAAGTTATAATTATGAACAGAGTCTTGGCTAGTGGTTTGAACGGAGTTATCCAGTTGTCTTTTTTTAATAAGATCAGGGTCATTCCTTTGGTCTATACCCATTTGGGATTAGACGGTTGATTTGATCTTGCCATTTGTTTACAAGATGGCGTATCCTTTTTTTTTCCAATATGGCGGATATGAATATGTCTTGGTCTATTCTAACGGTGTCCATAAAATCCATGCCACCGGTGTTGCTCGCGATCAAACGCACAAGAGTATTAGCCAAATCATAATGTATTTATATCTCTGTATCTAACGCTGGATTGATCAACTTACTTGTGGCGCCCTGGGCTTAAACTAGAGCTAAACGTCACAAAATACCTACTTGTGGCGCCCTGGACTTCAACTAGAGCTAACCGTCACAAAATACCTACTTGTGGCGCCCTGGGCTTTAGCTACAGCTAAACGTCACACAATACCTACTTGTGGCGCCCTGGGCTTCAACTACAGCTAACCGTCACAAAATACCTACTTGTGGCGCCCTGGGCTTCAACTACAGCTAACCGTCACAAAATACCTACTTGTGGCGCCCTGGGCTTCAACTACAGCTAACCATTTTAGCGTTTACAGACTTGCTAGATCATTGTACTTGGAATAAGTTTCAAAACTTTGACGTGGCAAAAAATAATTGTGCCCAAGAAACTCCTCTTTGTCAAAGTGTCCTGTCAATTGAGCCAATAATGCATTGCCATTCTTTTAGTGGCTAGACAAATAATGATGTATTGACAGACGATCAGATTTCATTATCGTCCCAATGCACGCCATTTTCCACGCGCATCTTTTTTTAACAATGCCTGGCTTTGTTTCCAGTGCAGCTTCCGTACCACTGACGCCCCCGATCAACATAAGTGTGGCGGTAATCTGGTGAGGAACCTTGCTGGACAATACTACCTCATCACTACGGCCCACTGTGTCCCGTGAGTTGGTATTTCATGTTGTTGTTTTTTAAAGTATTTTTATTGTTTTTAGATTTATTTTTTAATTTTTTTTAAAATGTATTCTTGATTTAATTAAATCTATTTTTTTAAATAAATTTTTATTTATTTTTTTTTATTATTTTTTTTAAATTTATTTTTTTAATTTGATGTTTTATTAGACCTAGATCTAATGTCTTTTTAATTTAAATTATTATTTTTATTTTATTTTATTTTTTATTGTTTTATTTTTTTAATTTAATTATTTTAATTTTTTTTTAAAATTACTTTATATTATTTTTTATTAATGTTTGTTAATTTTATTTATTTATTTATTTATTTTTTTATGGCATGATGATGTTTGAGCCATGTTGTTTGTTCCCCCTCAGAGACCCCAAGGCCAGCCTGTACGAAGCTCACTGTGGTATCCACGACAGGGCCGACTCCAGTGAGCCGAACCGTGTCATCCTGTACTTCAACCACGCGGCCGTGCACGCGTATGTCGTAATCATGTCCTGTCAAGGTGTTCATGTGCTTGAGTATCTGTTTGTAATAATGACCTTTTATTGTGCCTGAATGTGAATATGAGTATGTAATAATGACCTGTTGGCATGCTTGAATGTGTGTATGTAATAATGACCTGTTGGCGTGCTTGAATGTGTGTATTTAATAATGACCTGTTGGTGAGCTTGAATGTGTGTATGTAAGAATGACCTGTTAGCGTTCTTGAATGTGTGTATGTAATAATGACCTATTGGTGTGCGAGTATGTGTATGTGATAATGACCTATTGGTGAGCTTGAATATGTGTATGTAATAACGACCTGTTGTGGTGCTTGAATGTGTGTATGTAATAATGACATGTTAGCGTGCCTGAATGAGTGTATGTAATCATGACCTGTTGGTGTGCTTGAATGTGTGTATGTGATAATGACATGTTAGCGTGCCTGAATGAGTGTATGTAATCATGACCTGTTGGTGTGCTTGAATGTGTGTATGTAATAATGACATGTTAGCGTGCCTGAATGAGTGTATGTAATCATGACCTGTTGTGGTGCTTGAATGTGTGTATGTAATAATGACATGTTAGCGTGCCTGAATGAGTGTATGTAATCATGACCTGTTGGTGTGCTTGAATGTTTGTATGTAATTACTATAAGTCAGTGTGCTGTAGTAAATGGCTGTAACCATGACCTCTTCGTTTTCTGGATTTTTAACGCATTGACATTTGCGGCGTCTGGTGTACCACTGCATATCTTAGAAATCGGCTGTCCATATAGGTGTCGCATCTCGCAATAATCTGATTTGAATCCTTCTGACCAGCGGCCAAGTCAGTTTTCCACATGGGCATTGCACTAACTGAATTATACTCGGGCAATTTTAATTTTATGTTCATTACCTTCTTACTACTCTAATTGTTTTGTGGATAGTATTTAAACGTGTATGTTTAAAGTAGAAGGTCTCTGTAAACAGAAGCAATTAATACCACAGGGCATCAGACTTGCTTAAGTGACCCCCTCGATGACCTTACCAGAATTACCTCTAGAGCAGTGGCTCTCGTCCTGACTAATGCCGCGACTCTTCAATGCAGTTTCTTTATGTTGTGTCGACCCCAACCATAAATAAAATTATTTTCATTGCTACTTCATAATTATAATGCGTTTTTTGATGGTCTTAGACGACCGCTATGTAAAGGGTCCTTCGACCTCAAAAGGAATCGCGACCCACAGGTTGATAACCGCTGCTCCAGAGAAATGCACTAACTCGTGTTTAAAATAAAACAATACAGTTCAGTATTTGATAACGTCTAAATGGATTGGATGAACCATGAAACTGATGAGCCAATATTTTGGGGCGCAAAGAGAAAAAAAAACAATTGGCGCAAACAGTTTCTTCATTGCGAGTAAATTAAATCGAGCAATTTTCTACTGGCCCACTGTCGCTGAATGCCATGATATTCAACTTTGTCACTCTGTAAAAAAAAACTTGGGTTAAACCTGAGTTGTCATTGCACGGGTTCTGTGTTAATAATGTTGGGGGCTAGGACCATGCATTAATGATAGGTTCACTTTATGACAGGTTCACTTTATGACAGGCTAACTTAATGACATGTTCACTTAATGACATGTTCTCTTAATGACAGGTTCGCTTAATGTCAGTGTCACTCAATGGCGTGTTCACTTAAGGACAGGCTCACTTAATGTCAGGCTCCCTTAATGTCAGGCTCACTTAATGTCAGGCTCACTTAATGTCAGGCTCACTTAATGTCAGGTTCACTTCTCACTTAATGACAGGTTCGCTCAATGACTGTCTCGCTTAATGACAGGCTTAATTAATAAGCGCCTGGTTCTGGCTTTTTCGTTGATTTAAGAGGAGAACGTTTCTTTCTTCCCACCCCACCACCAAGTGCATCACCGATACCAATAAATTAACTGTTAAACTTCGACTCTTTTTCACAGGAACCACAATCCGTGGACTTACGATTACGACATCGCGGTCCTGAGGGTGATCACTTCCGTCACCACCAGTAACTACATCTCTGCCGTGTGCATTCCCAATGAAGGCTGGTACCCCAACAACTCGGCCATTGCTGTGGGATGGGGAAGCCTCGGCTCAGGTGAGGGTGAAGCCATGTGACCTGGCAAATACTGTTAAGTTTTATATTGTCAACAGCATGGCTCCCCGGGTCTGTCAAAGCTCCCGGGTCTTCTAACGCTCCCGGGTCTTCATAAGACTCCCGGGTCTGCCAAGGTTCCGCAGGTGTGAAAAGGCTTCCACGTCTGCCAAGACTCCCACGTCTGCCAAGGCTCCCAGACCTGCGAAGACCCCCACGTTTGCCAAGACTCCCAGGTCTGCCAAGAGTCCAACGTCTGCCAAGTCTCCCACGTCTGCCAAGGCTCCCAGGTCTGCCAAGACTACAACGTCTGCCAAGTCTCCCACGTCTACCAAGGGTCGCAGGTCTGCCAAGACTCCAACGTCTGCCAAGGCTCCCACATTTGACAAGGCTCCTAGGTCTGCCATTTACAGCGAAAGCTTCGTGTTGTTTTGTTGACCAGCTTGAGGGTAGGGTGTTGTTAATTGCATCACCGTAGAGATCTAGAAGGTCGGGGGTTGGGGGGGGGGGGGGGGCTTTGCTGTTGAGGCAACTTTCAAATAACTTCATTTTTCAGGAACCTGTCTCTACATAACTTGTATTTTCTCTTGTACTTGAGTGAGACGAACCATCAAGCTTATATGAGGCAGCCAACTGAAACACTGAGATAAGTCTGTCCCTTCAGTTCACTTCAATTGCAACACAGACTGGTGTCTTGCTCCGTTTCATTAGTGTTTCTTTCAGGCGGCTTTCCGGAAAAAAAGGGGGGGGGGGCAGGTGTTTGGCACCAGAGGACAAGATTTATCTTTATGTCACCCCTTCAAATCTGAAACCAATTATTTTCATCCATTGAATAAAACTAAAATCAAAGCCCATTTTGACACTCCCGCTATTCTGACGCCCCAAGGAAATCTGTCCCCCCTGCCTCCACTAAGCTAGGCCTCTGGACACTGGTACTGACCAAACGAGACTATGAAATACCCTCTCCCCCTCGGAGGTAAGTCTGAAAGAAACACCGCCACCTTCCCCCATAAAAAAAATCAAATCGTTACAAAAGATAAAACAGATTCTAAATTTTAAAAAGGTTAAATGGTAATCAAAACATTGAAAAGACATATTAATCACGATAGAATGAGACTGCCAGTCAGTAAATGGACCGTTACATTTCAGCCGGCGTGTCCCCCTACAAGCTGCACCAGGTCACAAAGCCCATCAAGTCCAGACCAGTCTGTGAAGAGCGTTACGGGTCCGCCTCCATCACCCTGAGGATGCTGTGCGCTGGACTGCCGGAAGGTGGCGTCGACTCGTGTGAGGTGAGCAACTTCCTCCTCCTCATCCTCATGTCCCTTAGTCCTTGGACCGTTGGTGCGCCACAGATGACATGTGAACCATCCTCCTCCATTCGTCTCTGTCTTCAGCACTACGCACTGTATCGCCCAGTGTTAGTCCTGTCCACTCGTTGATGTTATCCTCCCATCTTTTTCTTTGTCTTCCTCTTCTTCTCCCTCCTCTTGTGGTGCCCTGCAATATTTCTTTGGCAAGCCCTTGTTTCCTTGTTACGTGGCCGTGCCATTGTAATTTGCGTTTCTTTCACAGTCACCAGTAATGAGCAACTTACCCGTTTGATAAACCTTTCTTTTTCTTCCAATCTTACTTTTTACCTGGTTGTTTTAAACACCTCAAACTGTTAACATTTTATTTTAGCTCCCCCTGCAACCCAACCCCCCCCTCTCGCCCCCGGCCCACCTTCACCGCACATGCGCATCCTTAATAAATAAAGTTATTGCACTTAAACAAAATCATTTCCTCTTAATGTGTATTGCCATGTGACCATATGCACACGTGTTCATTGGTTAGGATGAAAATTATTTTTAATTCTAATTTCCCAGGGAGACAGCGGTGGCCCCCTGTACACGTATATCGAGAACAGATGGACGCTCACTGGTAATGATTGAAAATGGATTTAATTTTCCTATTTTTATAAAGTTCACCGAAATTTCTGTATAATTTTGTAGTTATATTGATTCACTAATTTAATTCTTCATATTATATATTCGTTTTAATCACACATAAAAAAATTTTTTAATAAAAACATTTGTCTTTGTTATCATATTCCACAAATGTGTTTACTTTTGGCTCTCGGAATTTCATGATTTTGCTCCATTTTGCTCTCGGAATTTCACGGCTTTGCTCCCTCTTTGTTCCAGGTTTGTCCAGCTGGGGTTACGGCTGTGGAATAGCTGGGCGACCAGGGGTTTACGCGGACATTATTGAGCTCAAGGACTGGATCAACCTTCAGATCAACGTTTGACGCCCCTGACCTTGCATGCATCACACATTATGGTACGGAGGCGAAGATCAACATAATACCACGCACACAAAAAACAAAAAAAAATTCTTCATATGTCGCTTCCCGGTTCATGTTTCGTTGGCGCTCACCATCCGACCAATCGAATAAACAAAATATACAAATATATCAAACTGCTGTGGTTTATATGTTCAATGTCTCTTTTTCTTCTGTGGCTCCTGTGTTAGAGCGATGAAGAGATTGTTACTGACCATGTTTGGTATTCTTGAGAGGTCGTAACTTGTGGGATGTCTGTTGGGGGTTGAGGGGGGCGGGGGGCGGGGTTGGTGTCATAGAATAGTGTTCCGCTTGCGTTTCTTTGACAGAGTGTGACAGACCGTGACAGACCGTGACATTTAGTTGGTGAGGACTGCTGACCGAATGTCCCTCACTAGATGTCCCGGGGGACGCCAGGGCGGATGGAGGGACCTACGTGAGGAAAATGTTGTATGGCTCAGCATAGCAGATGGAGCCGGTAACCAACGTACTAGCCGGGGGTCATAAGAGAGTAACCTCAGACCCTCACCAGAATATGCGTGTTAGCTAGTTGCTGAGGACGTCAAACTGGGTTAAAATGAAGTGATGAGGATTTTATTGAGCACCTAATGACCCACGTAATGTGTTGCTCAACTCTGACGTATGCATGTCTTCAGCGCGTATCTGGGCGTCCGTGCTGCATAAAGTCCTGTATGCGGCCATTTTTGTGTTAACTTAAAATAAAAAGCTAATTTAATGAAAACTTTCTTCCTATACAACTCTATCACGTGGGCGTCAGACAGCTCTCTGCAAATCCCCTCCCCTCCCAAACCCTTAAAATCAAACAAGTTCTAAAAAATTATTTTTTTTTTAAATTGCAGTTTCAGGGCTTTTAAGTTAATAGCTCCAAACGGTCTCTATCTAGGACCGAGAACAGACTCCTTATTTGTAACTCTGCAAAAAAACACAAAAAAAACGAACGTAATCTCCTCTTCTAATCTAAACAACACTAGCATAAAACCAAATGTTTCAATTCTCACACGAGACCTGTTTGATTGTAACTCAATACTTACATTGAAAGCTACTAAACAGATTTGAAAACGGCGTTTTACCGTATCTTCGTCTCTTATCTGTATTAAACTAATGTCCACCTATAGGCACAGTGGTCAGCAAATCGCGGCACGCGCGCCGCATGCGGTTCTCTATCGACCAGAGTGCGATTCAGCCAGTCGGCCACAAATCGGCTTTTGAAAAGAAATTTGGCTCTAAAAAAAATTTGAATCACCCTGCTCCTGATTTTGTGGCTCTTTTGACTTTCTGCCGACCTCTGACCAAGGAGCCTGGTATACTCATGGGCACATCTTGTGTGCGTGTGTGTGTTGTCAAGTAACACTGTTGAATGCTTTTATTTAAACATCCGTCTATTTACGACGACGCGTTTCCCCTCTAAGATCAGCTCTACGCCAATGGTGTAGCGTTGTGTCAGTGCCGCTTTTGTTCCCATCTCAGTCTCTCAGTCAATGCTGAGGCTCTGCGTCACAACGAACGTAAAGCACAATGGCTGACTCGACCAGTAAGGTGACGTCACGTCGCGGTTCTCACACAATGATTAGTTAAACCATTTTGGAACGGAAGAAAAATCACACTAAAAATAATGGTACAATTGCTTGGTCAGATGTCCCCCGTCCTTTATTATATACTTCAACCACTACGAATTGTTCCACTAAGACTCACAGCCACCCCCCACCCCCCACACCCAACTTTATTTCATATCAGGGGTTCGAAACATATGGTTCAATGATCTCTTTGGACATCCTAGAAAATGTTCCAGGGATCAGTGAGATGCATTGCCTTTGCAAATTAATTTTACACATGTAAAAATAAGATAAGATAAGATTCTTTTATGATCCAAAAAATGGAAATGTTTTTTGATTACATTATACATTTTCAGCTCAAAAATAAAACAATTTGAACACAAGACATTTATAATAAATTATTCCAAACAGCCGTTCAGTGAGTTCTCTTAGCAAAATCGGGGACTTATTAGTTCTCATTCAGATGTGTGACTTCAGAGGAAGCATGCGGTAAATTCGTACAGATTGGGGAACAAACGAATTTGTATAGGTGTCAGTCCTCGCCCTGATGGAAAGAATTCGCCCTGAACGGCCCGATCCTAAGTATCTGTGAAGAAGAGGGTGGGATGTATCATCCAAAATGTGTTTAGTTTTACACAAACATCTTTCTTCAAATAGTTCTTCAAGTGAAGGATGTTTAGTTTGTGTTATGTTCCTAGCTTTCTTGATTAGTCGGTTTATACGGTGTTTAATATCAGACGTTGAATTCCCAAACCAGCAGGTATTATTGAAATTGTATTACTCTATGTGATTCGTGGCCTTCATCTGAATAGTCGTGGGGTTACATTGAACAAAAGTTATTGAGAACCACTGCCCTACATTGACAGGTAACAGTGCCTTGTAAAACTATTAATTTTTTATTTTTTTTTAAAGGTACTGCTGATTATTCTTTGATTACAAAGAGACCTGCAGAACTTACAAAAAAACGTATAACTTAATATATAAGGTAAAAAAAATTAAGAAGAAATAAAAAATCTATTAACAGTTACATCGTAAGTTAAAAGTCGATATCTCCCCCTGATTTTAGCAGCACTTTTCATTGGAACCCTGCAGCTACCTTATATGCCTTGGGGTGTGGCCATCCCAGGTTAAGAAAACGTTATTTATATTTGCGTTTTTTTTTACGGAGTGGCCTTAGGTACCCGGGTATTTATAGCAGCAAATCGCTATTCGGACCCAGCTGGTCACGTGAGGTCTTTATAATATTCGGTTGGTCACGTGATGGTTATGACCAGGGCTACCACACCTTGGGAAATTTCCCAAGATCTTGGGAATTCACGACCCCCCTTGGGATCTGGGGAATAATTTTGAAAATCATGCAAAACCTTGGTAAATCTTAACCGGGGAACGGGGGGGGGGGGGG